TTGAAGATAAGAAAGCACTTGATGATGAGAAACACTGTGCGATCTGTCCAAAGCATTTGACACTGTTGACCATAGCATACTAGTTCAGAGACTGATCACTAGGTATTTCTCAGCACTTTGTGGGCTGGTTTATCAACTACCTCGCTGATAGGACTCAAGCCACGCAAGTTGATGGCCTAACATCAAAATATCTGACCAACCGCTTTTGGTCTCGGTCTTGGACATTGAGGACTCGGGATATTTTTTCAAGAACAGACAAGCATAGCTGTCAACCCTCCCTCATTCATCCTCGGATGCGGCGCCGCACGCGCTGTCACAAAAAAGCTGGACACAGTAGGGGTGTAACGGTACACAAAAATCACGGTTCGGTACGTACCTCGGTTTTAAAGTCACGGTTCGGTACGTTTTCGATACAGCAAAAAGAAAGAAATGCCAGAGAAATTTCCTATTTGTTAAAAGAAAAAATATTTTTAAATAAGTGTGAGTTTTCCTAGATCTTGAAACTTTCAGGTTTATAAATGGGGCTCATCTTTGAAGGATGAACAAATAATGTTTTGGTCATCACATTAAAAATAACATTTAAATATATATTTATTTATATAATATTTGAGTTTTGAAGTGCTGGAAAAAGATGTGTGAAGTACTTGAAAGCATTTCACCATTCCAGCCAAACTGGTTCCAGTTAGTGTTACTATATTAAATCCATGGTGAATGTTGCTGGTCTGTGGACGAAAGTATTACTAGTTCATTCACGGCACAATGTTTCTCCTGGTTACCACGTCAGCGCTCTTTGATCTAATAGAGATCTACGGTTAATAACGGAGAAATGTGAATGCATCTCACTAGATCTCGCAGCGATGTTATTACCTCAGTGGCGAATTCAAATGTTTTCTTTACCGGAGCGCGGTGTGGTAACAGTGTTGCTTGATCGAGATCGGCTCGCGCTGCACAGATTTGCTGGTCCGAACTGATAAACGATCCATGAAGCACATAACGAGCACCCAGATAGCAAACTGACATTGAATCAACGTGGAAATATGACATCGAAACAACGTTGATCTGACATTGTTTTGCTCATCGAATTAACGTTGAACCAACGTCAGACGCGTCATTCTTTCAAAACTAACGGAAAATCAACTTGAAATCAACGCGTTGTTTCAACGTTATGAAAGCAAACCAATTTTCGATTGTCATTTAGCTTTGAAGAATGCCGCGTCTGACGTTGGTTCAACATTAATTCGATGAGCAAAATCAACGTTGTTTCAATGTCATGAGAGACGTCGTTTCCACGCTGATTCAATGTCAGTTTGCTGTCTGGGCAGCGCAGTTTCGTTCTGCTTTCATTACGCTTGCCATTTGATTTTGCGCAACGTTGTGTTGGCCGCGTCAGCACGAATTTTGCCGGCAGGAAAAATGGTCCAAGCAATGGTTCGGTTTGTATGCGTCCGAACCGGAAGCCTCGAACCGAAACGGTTCAATACGAATACCGTTACACCCCTAGTACACAGCCATGCGAAATGACCCAACTTGTCATTTTTAGTCGTCACGCTCGTGCGGACGCGTCGAGTATAAAGGCTTTACTCCGTGTCAGCGCACACTCTGATCGGTAAAGGTGCACTGACCTCTCCCAATCATCTCCTGCACTCAGCCTCCGAAGCACCACTAACTCCCCCTGCGTTTCCCCAAAGCCCGTCGGCTTCCCTCATAAGCTGATATCAGAGTATTTAAACGTTCTCTATGATATATATACAGTGAGGCCAAACATTTTCTGTAATTTTAGGTACACTTTAACTACAAAATGAGAAACCGTGTCAGAGGTCAAACGTGTCCTGTAAGTCTTCAGCCGGTTTGCACACAGTGTAGCTGGTGTTTTGGCCCATTCCCCCATGCAGATCTCCTCTAGAGCGGTGATGTTTCGGGGCAAGACAGATCCCTCCACAAATGTCCTATGGGGTTGAGGTCTGGAGACTGGCTAGGCCACTCCAGGACCTTGAAATGCTTTTTACGGAGCCACTCCTTCATTGCCCGGGCGGTGTGTTAGGGATCATTGTCATTCTGGAAGATCCAGCCTAGGGCTGGGCGATATATCGCACGATATTGTTATGCGCGTCTAATCAGTAAAGCCGGTTCCTTGATTAGTAGTAAATCATCTTCACCTGCTTTCAAATTGACGATATGAGTGTTAAATTAACCCTCAAGAGTGTTAAAGTTAATGAGATAATTAAGTGATTAATTTAGTGATGATTGAGCATTATTGAAGACACCTGATGATCACAAGCAGAATCGCTGAAGGAGAAAATCACAAATTGTAAGCCACCGTTATGGAGATCAGTGTCTGCTTTAGTTGGGCTCTTGACACTTTTACTTTCACTTTAAACTTTGTGTGTCTGCTGCTATTGATTTATAGCAGTCAAATAAGACATCTGTGGTCTGATAGTGTTGATTATGTCATGACATAATCATGCTTGATCTGAAAAATGAATTCTATTCTGATGATTTGCTTTTATTTTGTTAGCAACAGTTTTGTGGTTGTATTGCATATCTGTATATTTCTTATAACTTAAAATGTTTAATATTCTGATCAAATCACTGTCATCTTTATTTAGAAACACAGATATCAATAATCAGCCTGTGTATCTCAATTGTGGTGACAAAATTAATCCTTGTTGCCACCAATCACAACTCATTAATGGCTCCCATCATGCATTGCGGTTTTAATAAATTACGACCTGAATTGTCTATGTAATTTACTTTTCGTACTTGAATATTCTACTTATCACCGTTGTTGAGAAGCATTGACTGAATCTTGAGGTCTGTGTGTGCCTAAAGGAAAGGTTTATTTTTTTTTTAAACAACTTTTGAGAAATCCATAAATTATATTTAACATTCTGGACATTTATGCATAATCTCAGTTATACACTAACCAACAGAATAAATTATAGCTATAAATATCGAATGATAAATGTCACTGTAATCAACATAATTTTATTATTATATATTTTTGTTCATCTGACAGATATAACTCAGATGCAAAAGCAAATTAAAATGTAAAATTTATATTATAAGGGTCAAGAGCCCAACAAAAGCAAACACTGATCTCCATAACGGTGGCTTAAAATTTTAGATTTTTTCCTTGTGATTCTGCTTTAGGTGTCTTCAATAATGCTCAATCATCACTCATTTAATCACTTAATTATCTCATTAACTTTAACACTCTTGAGTGTGGACTTATATACACTCCCAGGTGTGTTAGTTTAACACGGGAGATTTTGTCGTGGCGAAGAGCCGTAGTTCACTGACCAGCTGAGCCATATCGCATTAAATATCGCTATCGATATGTCCTCGATATTAACGCGATATGGCTCAGCTTGTCAGTGATCTACGGCTCTTTGTAGTAAATGCCGCTCCATCTGAAAGCATGTGAAGATGATTTACTGCTAATCAAGGAACCGGCTTTACTGATTAGATGCGCATAACAATATCGTGCGATATATCGCCCAGCCCTAATCCAGCCACATTTCATCTTCAAGGCTCTCACTGATGGAAGGAGGTTTTGGCTTAAAATCTCACGATACATGATCCCGTTCATTCTTCCCTCAACACGGATCAGTTTTCCTGTCCCCTTTGCAGAAAAACAGCCCCAAAGCATGATGGTTCCTCACGCATGCTTCACAGTAGGTGTGGTGTTCTTGGGACGCAACTCCGCATTCTTCTTCCTCCAAACACGACGAGTTTTTACCAAAAAGTTCTATTCTGGTTTCATCTGACCACATGATATTCTCCCAATCCTCTTCTGGATCATCCATATGCTCTCTGGTAGTGTGTTACTTATGGTAGCCTTTGTTACACACACTATCTTCTACACACACTCAGACTTATCACGTGAGGACTCGCTGCGGGCTCAGGCAGTGCAGGGGTCAGACTCACCTTGACCTGTCGGGCGACGCAGGAAGATGACTGTTTATGCAGTAAAGAAGAGCATGCAGAAGCCCTGGTGTGTGTGTGTGTGCGCACCCACTCCTCCCAGTGCTCGGACACCGTCAGCAGCTCCTGCAGCTCGGCCATGGCTCTCTGTGTAGTGTGTTACTCACGGTAGCCTGTGTTACTGTGGTCCAGCTCTCTGCAGGTCATTCATCAGGTCCCTCCGTGTAGTTCTGGGGTTTTTGCTCACCGTTCTCATGATTATTTTGACCCCACGGGATGAGATCTTGTGTGGAGCCCCAGATCGAGGGAGATTATGAGTGGTCTTGTATGTCTTCCATTGTCTTGCAATTGCTCCCACAGTTGATATATTCACACCGTGCTGCTTGCCTATTGTAGATTCAATCTTCCCAGCCTGGTGCAGGTCTACAACTTTCTTCCTGGTGTCCTTCGACAGCTCTTTGGTCTTGGTCATGGTTGAGTTTTGAGGCTGTGGACAGGTGTCTTTTATACAGATAACGGGTTCAAACAGGTGCCAATAATACAGAGAACGAATGGAGGACAGAAGAGCTTCTTAAAGAAGAAGTTACAGGTCTGTGAGACAGAAATCTTGCTGGTTTGAGGGTGACCAAATACTTATTTTCCACCATAATTTACAAATAAATTCTTTAAAAATCCTACAATGTGATTTCCTGGATTTTTTTTCTTCTCATTTTGTCTCTCATAGTTGAAGTGTACCTATGATGAACATTACAGACCTCTCTCATTATTCTAAGTAGGAGAACTTGCTCAATCAGTGGCTGACTAAATACGTTTTGGCCCCACTGTAAATGTCTCATTCTAAGGTAATAAAAACATTACGGTTTATTAAGTATCTTCTTTATACACTACTGAAAACATAGTTATGGATGTCATAATGCATTTCTGTTAATAGATACTCAACATTTTTACACATTGCACCTTTAATCCAGTATATTACAGACCTAAATGGACAACTTAAAAAGGGTTTTGTTCTTTTGGTTATTTTTTCATGGTAAAGATGACCTTTGCATGGAATTGCCCCATAGGAATCGATAAACTCAAATTATATAAACATTTATTTTTGCTCTTTTATAGCAGTGACACAGACTTGCCATGTATCATCATCAATCAATCATCTTTCTTTATTTGACAGAATCTGAGAAACCACCATCCACCTTCCCATCATGAACTGCTTAAAATCCATTTTAAGAATAAATAGAGGAAATACAACCATTATAAATCCCGTCCTCAGTCATAAAACCCGGTCGAACAGAAGTCCACTGGAATCGGGTCAGGACCCGGAAAGCACATGTTTATTCTGTAGTCTTGATCCTCCACACCGTGTGTGTGTGTGTGTGGTCTGGTCAAACAGGAAGTCCACTATGCCTACTGTGACTGAGGCTTAAGAACACGATTCCCCAAGCCTTGTTTATTCAGTAGAGTCTTGATCCTCTAGCACTACAATAACAACCAGCTAAACCTAGCAGAGACACGAAGTAATGTTCTTCTGTGTGTGTGAGAGTGTGTGGGGGGTTAGCGGGCTTCTGTGTAATGTGTGTGTGGTTAACTGGCCTCCTGAGGGTCGCTTTGGGGGACTGCTGATGACATCACTAGGGTCACGGCACCACCGGAGGCTTTAAACGAGCAGGTCGAGCAGATGTAGTCCTCGTTCTCCGCCATCTCACACGTCACTCCCACACACACCTGATGAAACCACTCGTCACAGCCGCCGTCACACTGGACCCAGTCCACCTGAACACACACACACACACCAGTGGACATGAGTTACGCCACTTCAGCCTTTCTGCTAACTCTCATCACAGCATTAGAAGACTGGTGTTAGGAGTGTGTGGACATGTAAAGGAGCGTCACAGTTAAGAGTTAGCAGATATTACGCATCAGTCTACTAATACTCGAACGACGGCTAGTTGAGTAACATAGTAATATCTAAAGCAGGGTTCCCCAATCTGTCCCTGCAGAGTTTAGCTCCAGCCCTGATCAAACACACCTATCTGTGAGTTTCTACTGATCCTGAAGACCTTGATTAGCTTGCTCAGGTGTGTTTGATCAGGGTTGGACAGTGGCCCTCCAGGCCCGAGATTGGGGAACCCTGATCTTAAGAATACTATCAAAATAAAGTGTCACTCCTCATATGATGATCTGTGTGAGAAACAGTCATCATCACTGAATCTTCTGAAGCACATCTCAAATCATGGCTGATATAAAAACGATATTAGAGCGGGGGAAATTATTTGATCCCCTGCTGATTTAAGTTTGCCTCTCTCATTTTTATGGTATGAAAAAATTAGTCTCTCATTTTTATGGTAGATTTATTTTAATGGATAGAGACCAACCAAAAAAAAAAAAAAATCAACCCTAAAATCCAAAAACACATTATATAAAGGTTATGAACTGATTAGGATTTGATCGAGTGAAATAAGTATTTGATCCCCAACCAACCAGCAAGAATTCTGCCTCCCACAGATTGGTCATGTGCCCATGTGGATCCCGCCTCATGAGGTACGGATGATCATGAGAAAGGTGAGGGATCAGCCCAGAAGGAGCTTGTTAATGATCTCAAGGCAGTGAGTAACAGCAAGTGTGAGCAAACCATTGGTAACACACTATGCCGCAATGGATTAAAGTCCTGCAGTGCCCGCAAGGCCCAGCTCAAGAAGGCACATGTAGAAGCCCATCTGAGGTTTGCCAATGAACATCTAATGAGGTATGGGGAAAAATTGAGCTCTTTGTCTAGCCTAGAAATCTAGACACCCCATAGCAGCAACAATTTTTATTTTGCAGTCAGGGTGGTCTAACAACTCTACATAGACTTTCTGGCTGGAAAAACCAAACCCTAGTCAGGCCAATCACATCGTGTGTAGAGTTGCCGGGTGGGCTTAACATAATGACGGCAGAGTTGCGACGGTTCCCTGCTAATTGAAAACAAAGAATGGCCACTGCTGGCGAACAGCGGTCTTTCGAATTGGCTTTGGCCGTGACTCTGCAGGACGTGGAGTTAAGCTTTCTTTGAGAAAAGAACAAGAAAAGGCACTTAAGTCATTCTCAAAAAAGGAAGGTGTGTTCGTCGTTTTGCCAGATACGGCAAAAGTTTAATCCATCAACTATCTCTCTGGTGGGAAAACGCTCTGGTTGGTTGTGGCGCTATCCTATTGCGTGCAGAGTGAATTTGAAAGACAACCGTTTATCCCGCCCCTAGGATTGAGCTCTGCCAATGGTGAGTTCCCAGACCCAACATCTTGATGTGGGTCTGGCTTGCCAGGCTACTCTTTGGCATCAGCTCAATTCAAATCATCAACTCGACTCAAACAAGCCGTGTTTGGAGGAAGAGAAATGCTCGGTGCAAACATCATGCTCTGGGGCCGTTTCTCTGCTAAGGGTACAGGACGACTCTGGGGCCGATGGATGGGGCCATGTACCGTAACCTCCATCCTTCAGCCAGAAGACTGAAGATGGGTCTTTCAGCATGACTCTGACCCAGAACACACCGCCCAGGCAACAATGGAGTGGCCTAGCCAGTGTCCAGAACTGAATCCTACTGAAAATCCGAGGAGGGAGCCAAAACTTTGAGTTGCAAAGTGACAGCCAAGAAACCTCAAGGATTGTGTAAAGAGGAGTGGACCAGAATCCCTCCTGAGATGAGTGCAAACCTGGTGATGAACTACAAGAAACATCTTACCTCTGTTCCCAACCCAGACCCAACAAGGGTTTCTCCACCAAAAACTTCAAAATGTTTTACTTGGGAATCAAATACCTATTTCAATTACTGAAATAGAAATCAATTTAAAACCTTTATATAATGATTTTGCGTGATTTTTCGGTTGATATTCTGTCTCTGTGCATTAAAATAAACCTACCATAAAAATTATAGACCCTTAATTTCTTTGTAAGTTCGTGCTGTTGGTTCGGTAACTCACCTTGTCCCTGCAGGGAGAACGCCTCTGGAGAACGCTGTGGCTCAGAGCGAATAAAGGTGGAGAACGGTGTAGGAGACTCACCTTGTCCCTACAGGGCCTCTGGCAGCTGCTGGCGGAGCACACGGCATTCTCGTCGTTGGAGTCCTCTGCTCCGGACCAGTCGTACTTGGAGGGAATGTCCAGGATCTTGCGAGTCTGGGTCTGGGTCTTCTTCTCCAGCGCCTCCTCCCGAGCGGCCGCCTTCTCCTTCCTCTTGCGCTCCTTCTCCTGCTTGGCGATCCGCTTGGCCAGTGCCTTCAGCTCGCGGGACCGGTCCGGGCTCAGCTTCAGCCTCTTCTTCCTGGGCTTGAGCTCCAGGACCCTGGGTTTGGGCCGGGCCTCCATCAGCAGCTGCTGCTCCGCTCGCTCCAGCTTCCTCTTCCTCTTCTTCTCCACGTCCTTCAGCTTCAGCTTCACGGGCTTGTCCAGCACCGAGTCCTCGGGCTGCGGGAGGGAGGAGAACCACAGGTTAAACACCTCAATCTGTCATCAGGACAGGGCTGCTGCACACACACTTTCTAAAGACAAAATGAAGGCTTTTAACAACTGAAGAAATAAAACTGACAAAAAAATGATATCTCAATATTTTCAAAGCTTTGCTGATACTAATTAGATGTTATTTTGCTGAGTGCATTGCTGGTTTAGACCGTTGACTCATTAAGACTTATTCATATTCTATGCAGTGGTCAGTTCACAGCACTGACAGAAATTACCTGTGTCATTAAGGAGTGATATTTGCTACCTTAAATTGATTTACAGGGGCTTTGTTACCTATATAAGGGCATTTCAAAAACACTCATTAGAGAATAGTGCTTTAACCAATCAAATGAAATCATTAAATCAGTGTCAGTGTGAGTGTAAAGTCCACTAGGAGAGGAGGCGGTGTCTCTGACCTCCATGGCCTGCAGGAACCGGTCCTCTGCGGGCGGGTGCGTGGCCTGCAGGATCCTCCAGATGTGCTGGGTCTCGTCGAGCGACACCTCCAGCAGGTCGCCCTCCATCATCAGCTCCTCCAGCTGCAGTGTGGCCGGCGGGGACAGCTCCAGCACCGGGGGCTCCAGGCTACGGGGAACAAGCGGGGTCTTCCTCGGCTGCTTGCGGGAGCCGGCTGGGTCTGAGGAGGACAACAGGAGATCAGGAGAACAGGAGATGTGTGTGTGTGTGTGTGTGTGCTCGCTGGAGTCTCACTCTGAGGAACAGACTTCGAGGCGGAGGAGTATGCGTGCTCGGCACAGAATGACGGGGTCGTCGGCCACATGTGGCTCACCACCTCCTCAGACTTTACTGGGATCTCCTCATCGCAGAACAAGTACGGCTTCACCTCTCCCGAGTCCTGAGGAGGGAAACACTGAGATGACAGAGGAACTGCACCACGTTCACCATAAACATCCTGACAGCAGCACTACATCAGAGCACTCATGCACACGTCTCTATGCTATTCCGGCTCAACTGCATGTGAACGTCCTCAACAAGACACTCGTTTAGGGGAACCATTCAATTCTGGACTCATCCCACTCTGAACCCACTAGCGATGCGAGCGTCATGGCGTACCTTGACGTCATAGCCGTAGGTCTCTCTGATGTCCTCGTCGGAGTCGGTCTCCTCATCGTCGTAGTCCCCCGAGGGCCGTGGAGACGTGGCCCTGCTGAAGCCGGCCTGCTGGAAGGTCTGAATGTGGCCCTGTAAGCGAAACAGAGTTAGTCAAACAAGGCTCACTCGTGCACTCAGACGAGGTGTGTGTGTGTGTGTGTGTGTGAGACGGCACATGCCTGCAGGTCGGGGTTGGCGGCCGCCTTCTGCAGCTCAGCCGTGATGATCTTCTCAGTCTTCTCGCGCGCGGCCAGCTCCACCATGCGCTGGCTGAGCACCGAGAGCTTGGCCAGGGCGGAGGACAGCTCTTCTGTGGCCAGGGCCTGTCGAGCGCGGTCCTGCCAGCCCATGGCTCTCTCCGTCAGGCACTGCAGCGCCTCGCCCTCCGGCAGCCGCACTGGCAGCTTCTGCAGAGACACCAGCAGCGCCAGGATGGTCTCCAGCCGGGGCCGGCGCGAACGCTGGCATAGCGGGCACAAGAACTTTGCCTCCTTGCTGGCCGCCAGCCTCTTCTGCGAGCCGGCTTTGGGCAGGGGCACGCAGGCGCCGTGGAACCAGTCCTTGCACAGCTCACACTGCAGCATGAAGCCGCCGGCTGGCTTGCGGCACAGGCAGAACTTGGCCTCCTCCGTGCGCTCCAGCAGGGCCATCTTGGCCAGGTTAGCGGCACGCAGCGAGTGGATGGCCTGCACCTCCTGCTGCTCGCGGGCCTTGAAGGCGGCCACGACGGCGGCGGGATCGCGCACCTCCTCCAGGCCCTCCTCCGGGTCGCTCGCCCCCTCCAGATCCAGGCCTGCGCGCTCCTTCTCCAGCAGTTCCTTCACACGCTTGCGCTTGCTCTTGCTGGAGCCGTACACGCCGACGTCCACTCGCGGGCTGAGTACCTGGAAGAGTTCGAGCGCAGGTGAGTGCAGATCAATACCACAACACTGTATCAACATGCAGCTACTTCTGAAGAAAACTCGCATTCATTTCTGTAGTGCTCTTCACAATACACACCTTTTCAAAATCCTGTGTTCAAAAAGTGAAACACTTTCACTTTCTGTGTTCCTCAGAAAGTGAGCATGAAAGTGTGCGTTTCTCAGGGAGTGCTGAATGCTGGTCAAATTGGCATGATTTATAAAGAATTATAAAGCAACTGAGATCAGTCTGGGTTTCCGAGATCGGTCTGGGTTTCCGAGATCGGTCTGGGTTTCCGAGATCGGTCTGGGTTTCCGAGATCGGTCTGAGTTTCCGAGATCGGTCTGGGTTTCCGAGATCGTTCTGGGTTTCCGAGATCGGTCTGGGTTTCCGAGATCGTTCTGGGTTTCCGAGATCGGTCTGGGTTTCCGAGATCGGTCTGGGTTTCCGAGATCGGTCTGGGTTTCCGAGATCGGTCTGGGTTTCCGAGATCGGTCTGAGTTTCCGAGATCGGTCTGGGTTTCTGAGATCGGTCTGGGTTTCCGAGATCGTTCTGGGTTTCCGAGATCGTTCTGGGTTTCCGAGATCGGTCTGGGTTTCCGAGATCGGTCTGGGTTTCCGAGATCGGTCTGGGTTTCTGAGATCGGTCTGGGTTTCCGAGATCGGTCTGGGTTTCTGAGATCGGTCAATAGGTTTCTGAGATCGGTCTGAGTTTCTGAGATCGGTCTGAGTTTCTGAGATCGGTCTGGGTTTCCGAGATCGGTCTGGGTTTCCGAGATCGGTCTGAGTTTCTGAGATCAGTCTGGGTTTCCGAGATCGGTCTGAGTTTCCGAGATCGGTCTGGGTTTCCGAGATCGGTCTGGGTTTCCGAGATCGGTCTGGGTTTCCGAGATCGGTCTGGGTTTCCGAGATCGGTCTGGGTTTCCGAGATCGGTCTGGGTTTCCGAGATCGGTCTGAGTTTCTGAGATCAGTCTGGGTTTCTCACACACAGTGAAGAAAGTCAGTGGAGGCTGGGCCTAACCCTGAGCCGTGATTAGTAATAGTCAAAACATGAGTGTGTCACCTGCAGTAGGGTGTGTGTGGAGTTCTTCTTCAGGAAGGTGCGAGCAGTCCTCTCTCTCAGTAAGGTGTGTGTGGGTGTGTGTGAGTGTGTCACCTGCAGTAGGGTGTGTGTAGAGTTCTTCTTCAGGAAGGTGCGAGCGGTCCTCTCTCTCCAGGCTCGGGCTGACCCGACCTGTGCCTCCACCTGGGGTAGCGCCTCCAGCCTCACCGGGATAGAGCGACCTCGAGCCAGAAGACCCTCCAGCTGCTCCAGGTAGGCATAGCTGCTGCCATTCTGTTCACAGAGACACGGGTCACATGACGGGCTTACACTACAGCGGAGTCAGCATGTGTGAGTAAACTAGCGTGTCCGGGTCACCTGAATGGCCTCCACTCGGGCCGTCCACTCCTTGGCTCTGAGCAGGGCGTCTCTGAGGGCCAGGACGTTGGGCAGGTGCGCTGGGATGTTCCTGGCCTCCGTCACGATGCTCTCCAGCGTCTGCAGGCTGTGGCGAGGCCTACAGAAGAGCAGAGACCCCCCTCCCGTCACACAGGGGAACGACACACACTCGACAGAGAAGGACCATGGTACAGGTCAGGGCTTCTGCAGGATTATCAGGCTATATTCAGGACTTTAAGACCAAATAAAGGCAATAAATTGCAGGGAACACAATATGTTCTCTACGTCTAAAAAAACATCTCTCTCCTTGCAATATTGCACTGGTTGCCAGTTGCCGCTCACATTAAATTCAAGTCACTGACGTTTGCCTACAGAACAACCACTGGCACTGCTCCCTCTCACCTAAACTCACTACCCCAGACTTATGTGCCATCCAGAAACTCGCGCTCCTGGGGTACCATCATCTCAAAGAGGCACAAGTCTCTATCTCTGGTGGAATGATCTGCCTAACTCAACCCGAGCTGCGGAGTCAGCGGCCACTTTCAAGAAACTGCTGAAGACGGATCTTTTTCAGCAGCACTTGATCCGGTACTACAAGTTATTATAAGTACAAGTACAAAGGTCAATTTGAGCGAAAATGCAGTGGAGTAGCAAATATATATTGTGTTTAAAAAACATAAATAAATGAGCATGGATAATATTTCACAAAATTACAAACCATCCAACAAATTGTATGTAACCTTTGAACAAATACCAAATCTAGTGAATACAAACATGTCTGTTTTGATTGTGAGATCTCTCGGCTCGATTTTTTCACAAAAGTGTCCGGGCAGATTGATGTAGCGCTAGTCTCCCGGGAGAAGCACTGATTCGAAACGCATGACCGGAGGACAGGTGTGTTTCTGACTTACAATATCCACAATTAACCTTTTTGGGGACGCCATACATATATATCCTGAGATAAGGGGCATAATATGTCACCTTTAAATTTCAAAAAGTCGAATTGAAGCAGCTTGTGTGAACCCTGAAGATGACTGTTTGAGCAGTGACCCCTGAGTAAAGAAGCCCTGGTGTGTGTGTGTGTGTGTGTGTGAGAGTCACCTGGCCTGCAGACAGGCGCGCGCCCGCTCCTCCCAGTGCTCGGACACCGTCAGCAGCTCCTGCAGCTCGGCCATGGCCTTCTCCACGGCGTGGTGCGGCGCCAGGCCCACTCCGGAGTCGATGAGCCGCTTCATCAGCTCCAGCGTGAGGCGCGACGGCTCCGCTAGCGTCAGCCGCACCTCGTCCAGCCAGCGCGCCTGGGTCAGCTCCTGCTCCAGCCGCGGCAGCTCCGGCAGCTCCAGGTCCAGCCCCGAGCCCAGGGCCAGCAGAGCCGCCAGCTTCCCGGAGTCCGGCGTGCGGTCCGCCAGCGCCGCCTGCGCCCGCTCGTGGAAGCCCTGCACGCTCTCCAGCAGATCCTGAGAGGACACACACACACTCATCACGTGAGGACTCGCTGCGGGTCAGGCGGTGCAGGGGTCAGGGGTCAGACTCACCTTGACCTGTCGGGCCTGGCTGATGACGCAGGGCAGGCGGTACAGCTGCTCCACAAACACCTTCAGCTCCTCCACCGTCAGCTTGCTGCGTGCCTTCTGTGCACTGCTGTCAGGACGCTCCTTCCTGAACACACACACACACACACACTCATGATGGGCTGGCCACACATGTGTATATCACACCAGACAGCTACACACACCTGTGCTTGTTGCTAAACCACACACACACACACACACCTGTGCCTGTGCTTGTTGCTGAGCAGCAGCTGAGCCACAGACGAGCAAGTCTCTGCCTCCTTCACCGTGTCCCTCAGGCTGCGGAACAGGAAGTTGTTCTCTGGGTACTTCCTGTCCTCCGCGTCCTCCATCAGCACCTTCAGCTCGATCAGATCTGTGGAGCACCAGAGACGTGTGTGTGACCCACAGCAAGCTCGTCATCTGATCGTTCATCTGGCAGTCCCTCGTACGAGGGAAAAACTTGCCTATCCTGAATTCCTTATTTTTGTGTTGTAAAGATAATTTAGAGGGCAACCCCCCTAGTCTTGTTAAATATATGCTTCATCTTTCTTTTCAGACACACTATAAGGGTGATACCAATCAAATTAAGTAAATGACACTGAAAAATGACAACTAGGTTAAATGCTGGAAAGAATGACACTTAACCGCCAGTAGGTGGCGGCAGGCGACCGTCTTAATGAACGAGTCATTGAGTCATTTACTCAAATGATTGGTTCGAACAGCTGATTAATTACAGAATAAGGCAGTTATTTCTGAGCGAGTCACTGAGTCATTTACTCAAATGATTGGTTCGAACGGCTGATTAATCACAGAATGAGGCAGTTATTTCTGAGCGAGTCATTGAGTCATTTACTCAAATGATTGGTTCGAACGGCTGATTAATCACAGAATGAGGCAGTTATTTCTGAGCGAGTCATTGAGTCATTTATTCAAATGATTGGTTCAAACGGCTGATTAATTAAAGAATGAGGCAGTTATTTCTGAGCGAGTCATTGAGTCATTTACTCAAATGATTGGTTCGAACGGCTGATTAATTAAAGAATGAGGCAGTTATTTCTGAGCGAGTCATTGAGTCATTTACTCAAATGATTGATTCGAACGGCTGATTAATTAAAGAATGAGGCAGTTATTTCTGAGCGAGTCATTGAGTCATTTATTCAAATGATTGGTTCAAACGGCTGATTAATTAAAGAATGAGGCAGTTATTTCTGAGCGAGTCATTGAGTCATTTACTCAAATGATTGGTTCGAACGGCTGATTAATTAAAGAATGAGGCAGTTATTTCTGAGCGAGTCATTGAGTCATTTACTCAAATGATTGATTCGAACGGCTGATTAATTAAAGAATGAGGCAGTTATTTCTGAGTGAGTCATTGAGTCATTTACTCAAATGATTGATCCGAACGGCTGATTAATTACAGAATGAGGCAGTTATTTCTGAGTGAGTCATTGAGTCATTTACTCAAATGATTGATTCGAACGGCTGATTAATCACAGAATGAGGCAGTTATTTCTGAGCGAGTCATTGAGTCATTTACTCAAATGATTGGTTCGAACGGCTGATTAATCACAGAATGAGGCAGTTATTTCTGAGCGAGTCATTGAGTCATTTATTCAAATGATTGGTTCAAACGGCTGATTAATTAAAGAATGAGGCAGTTATTTCTGAGCGAGTCATTGAGTCATTTACTCAAATGATTGGTTCGAACGGCTGATTAATTAAAGAATGAGGCAGTTATTTCTGAGCGAGTCATTGAGTCATTTACTCAAATGATTGATTCGAACGGCTGATTAATTAAAGAATGAGGCAGTTATTTCTGAGCGAGTCATTGAGTCATTTATTCAAATGATTGGTTCAAACGGCTGATTAATTAAAGAATGAGGCAGTTATTTCTGAGCGAGTCATTGAGTCATTTACTCAAATGATTGGTTCGAACGGCTGATTAATTAAAGAATGAGGCAGTTATTTCTGAGCGAGTCATTGAGTCATTTACTCAAATGATTGATTCGAACGGCTGATTAATTAAAGAATGAGGCAGTTATTTCTGAGCGAGTCATTGAGTCATTTACTCAAATGATTGATCCGAACGGCTGATTAATTACAGAATGAGGCAGTTATTTCTGAGCGAGTCATTGAGTCATTTACTCAAATGATTGATTCGAACGGCTGATTAATTAAAGAATGAGGCAGTTATTTCTGAGTGAGTCATTGAGTCATTTACTCAAATGATTGATCCGAACGGCTGATTAATTACAGAATGAGGCAGTTATTTCTGAGTGAGTCATTGAGTCATTTACTCAAATGATTGATTCGAACGGCTGATTAATTAAAGAATGAGGCAGTTATTTCTGAGCGAGTCATTGAGTCATTTACTCAAATGATTGGTTCGAACGGCTGATTAATTAAAGAATGAGGCAGTTATTTCTGAGCGAGTCATTGAGTCATTTATTCAAATGATTGGTTCGAACGGCTGATTAATTACAGAATGAGGCAGTTATTTCTGAGCGAGTCATTGAGTCATTTACTCAAATGATTGATTCGAACGGCTGATTAATTAAAGAATGAGGCAGTTATTTCTGAGCGAGTCATTGAGTCATTTATTCAAATGATTGGTTCGAACGGCTGATTAATTACAGAATGAGGCAGTTATTTCTGAGCGAGTCATTGAGTCATTTACTCAAATGATTGATTCGAACGGCTGATTAATTAAAGAATGAGGCAGTTATTTCTGAGCGAGTCATTGAGTCATTTACTCAAATGATTGATTCGAACGGCTGATTAATTAAAGAATGAGGCAGTTATTTCTGAGCGAGTCATTGAGTCATTTACTCAAATGATTGATTCGAACGGCTGATTAATTACAGAATGAGGCAGTTATTTCTGAGCGAGTCATTGAGTCATTTACTCAAATGATTGATTCGAACGGCTGATTAATTAAAGAATGAGGCAGTTATTTCTGAGTGAGTCATTGAGTCATTTACTCAAATGATTGATTCGAACGGCTGATTAATTAAAGAATGAGGCAGTTATTTCTGAGCGAGTCATTGAGTCATTGACATGTCCGTGTGGTGTCTGACCTTTCTTGCTCCTGCTATCGGCCGCCAGCGCCTCGGAGACCCTCCTGGCCCAGGTGTCGTAGGACTGCGCTCGTGACTTCACCCCGTACAGCATCGCAGGGAACTCGTCCTGGTGGTACCTGAACCTGCACACACACACACACAGGTCAGCATCAGCGGGAGCGAGGGGCGTGTGCGGGCCGGAGGTGGGCCGGGCTCTCACCGCAGGCACTTGTCTCGGGCGGAGCAGCTGCACAGGTGAGCGGCGTGACGCAGACACACCAGGCGCTGAGGGCTGCACACACAGGTGAGTGCTGACAGGAAGCAGGTGGTCTTACACTTCCAGCACTGTCGCTCGTCGTCCGGCACCAGCTCAAACACCTCCTGCTCCGAGGACAGCACCCCCTGCAGGACCCGAGGAGATCAGCGTCACACACCACATTACCAGCAGCATTCAGCTCATAACTGTGATGATTACCTGATTAATGATCATGTCACACAGCTTCTTTTACACCTACAGTAATATAATGCAATCATTAAAGTAGCAGTTATTCAGCATTAAAATATGCTTAGTTTCAGTCCTTGACTCTGGTAGTCACGATAAACCACTTCACCCAACGGTGAATCACTACACAACACCTCTAGCAAACACATGTTCTCATTGATATTGGTCACTGACACTTATCGAGTGAGTATGAGGTGGAGTGAGTGAGTGTACCTGCATTTACAGTGCATTTCCTTCAGCTCAGTCCTATATTCATAATACATTTGTGAATGTCATCTGCGATATCATGTCCTTTTAACAGTTAAGGTGACACGCTAGTCATTTATCAGTTGCGTTGCTTCTCCGTGTCACAACAAGTCCTTTCGATATAAAAAGTCTTCTCTACTGACTGACTCACTCATAAAGAGAGTATTTATCGCCATCTAATGGAGAATTAATGTACCTTCTGTTCCTGTTCACGGTCAGGGACTATTTTTACCAGCGGAAGGATGACGGCTTTCAGTGATTTTACCTCAGAAACATTGCATTGATGCATATTTTGGGGCTTTAATATTAGTATTGTGGAAACCGTTTTCTAAAAGCAATAAGGGAACTGGAGGCTAGTACTGTATGGTGACTCCACACATTGTCAATGGTCCTGATTGTGGTGGTGTGTGTGTTGCTCACCATCTCCTGCACGGCGTCTCTCAGCCGGCTCTCCTCCTCCATCATGTCGCTGAGCTCTCGCACCACGGCCGCCGCCAGCTCCACGTCCAGGCTCTCGGGGTCGGCGGCCATCTTGCACACCAGCTCCTCGTGCGAGAACACGCAGTAGCGCTGCAGGCGCCGGTAATGCGCCACACACTGCCTCCCGATGGGCAGCTGCACACACACACAGGTCATCACACACACACACACACAGGCAAGGCTCCACGGCGAGTGAGTAAGCGGGTGTGTAAGACGTACCCAGTCTGCAGTGCAGAAGTTCACGGCTTCAGCAAAGTTGTAGCCCTGGTTGAAGCCGCTGTGATAGGCTCTGGGGAAGGTGACCACGAACTCCCCCGCGCACTGGTTGGTCCGGTACACCTGTAGGTGTGACAGAGAGATGGAGATGACACACCCGCAGACTCAGCAGCTGCTCTGTTAGAGCGGGACGGACGGGTGGAGGAGTACCGGGACGCCGTGCTCCATCAGGAGGTTGGGGTTCATCAGGGTGACGAGCTGGTGCAGGAGATCCGGCTGCGAGTCGAACAGCTCCGGAGCCACCGTCTTCATGACCGTCTCCAGCTGCTCTGCGGCGTGTGCTGGGACCCCGTACCACGTCTTGGGCTCGCCCCTGAAACACACACACATTAATGTGCCACTAGTTATACGGAGATAACATCTTGGAACCTATTTCAAAGTTTGCATTCTCGAGTCACCAAACACTGCTGTTGTGCAAATGAACGGCCGGAACACGTTACGAGTTTCTGTACAGCGCTGTCGTGTTAGCGGCCCCATAGTTAATCACTAATGATCTCTGCAACAGAAGTGAATCAATCAAAACTAACTTCACCTGGACAATAACTCTATTCTAGAGCTGCTGTAAAACACTCTCTGTGACTGTAATCTCCTGTTATCAGTGTAAAGCTGCGGTGAAGCTGTTGTTAATAGCAGTATATAAATTGGGCGGCACTGGCTCAGTGGTTCATGTAGATTGTCTACAAACCGGAGGGATGGTGGTTCAATCCCCGGTTCCACCTGTTCAAGGGTGCTTCTCAGTATCCCTCCTCGTCTCCTCACTCCTCCGTCCTCCCTCCTATGATCCGGAAACCGATCGAGCTCAGCCATCTTGAAGGACATCTCTAATTGCACCGTGAGGAGTCGAGGATCGAGGAGTGAGGAGTCGAGTAGAGGAGTGAGGAGGCGAGGAGTCGAGTATCGAGGAGTGAGGAGTCGAGTATCGATTTGAGGAGTCCAGGAGTGAGGAGTCGAGGATCGAGGAGTGAGGAGTCCAGGATCGAGGAGTGAGGAGGCGAGGATCGAGGAGTGAGGAGTCATTGATCGAGGAGTCCGGGAGTGAGGAGTCGAGGATCGAGGAGTGAGGAGTCCAGGATCGAGGAGTGAGGAGGCGAGGATCGAGGAGTGAGGAGTCATTGATCGAGGAGTCCGGGAGTGAGGAGTCGAGGATCGAGGAGTGAGGAGTCGAGTAGAGGAGTGAGGATCGAGGAGTCTAGGATCGAGGAGTGAGGAGTCGAGTAGAGGAGTGAGGAGGCGAGGATCGAGGAGGCGAGGATCGAGGAGTCAATGATCGAGGAGTCCAGGAGTGAGGAGTCGAGGATCGAGGAGTGAGGAGTCGAGTCGAGGAGTGAGGAGGCGAGGCTCGAGGAGTGAGGAGTCGAGAAGTGAGGAGTCGATGATCGAGGAGTCCAGGAGTGAGGAGTCGAGTATCGAGGAGTGAGGAGTCGATGATTGAGGAGTCCAGGAGTGAGGAGGCGAGGATCGAGGAGTGAGGAGGCGAAGAGTGAGGAGGCGAGGATCGAGGAGTGAGGAGGCGAGGATCAAGGAGTCCAGGAGTGAGGAGTCGAGTATCGAGGAGTGAGGAGTCGATGATCGAGGAGTCCAGGAGTGAGGAGTCGAGGATCGAGGAGTGAGGAGGCGAGGATCGAGGAGTGAGGAGTCGAGGATCGAGGAGTGAGGAGGCGAGGATCGAGGAGGCGAGGATCGAGGAGTCGAGGAGTGAGGAGGCGAGGATCAAGGAGTGAGGAGTCAAGGATCGAGGAGTCAAGGATCGAGGAGTCGAGGATCGAGGAGTGAGGAGTCAAGGATTGAGGAGGCGAGGATCGAGGATCGAGGAGTGAGGAGGCGAGGATCGAGGAGTGAGGAGTCGAGGATCGAGGAGTCGAGGATCGAGGAGTGAGGAGGCGAGGATCGAGGAGTGAGGAGGCGAGGATCGAGGAGTGAGGAGTCGAGGATCAAGGAGTCCAGGAGTGAGGAGTCGAGTATCGAGGAGTGAGGAGTCGATGATCGAGGAGTCCAGGAGTGAGGAGTCGAGGATCGAGGAGTGAGGAGGCGAGGATCAAGGAGTGAGGAGTCGAGGATCGAGGAGTGAGGAGGCGAGGATCGAGGAGGCGAGGATCGAGGAGTGAGGAGTCGAGGATCGAGGAGGCGAGGATCGAGGAGGCGAGGATCAAGGAGTGAGGAGTCAAGGATCGAGGAGTCGAGGATCGAGGAGTGAAGAGTCGAGGAGTCGAGGATCGAGGAGGCGAGGATCGAGGAGTGAGGAGGCGAGGATCGAGGAGTGAGGAGTCGAGGATCGAGGAGGTGAGGATCGAGGAGTCGAGGAGTGAGGAGTGAAGAGTCGAGGAGTCGAGGATCGAGGAGTCGAGGATAGAGGAGTGAAGAGTCGAGGAGTCGAGGATCGAGGAGTGAGGAGTCGAGGATCGAGGAGTGAGGAGGCGAGGATCAAGGAGTGAGGAGTCGAGGATCGAGGAGGCGAGGATCGAGGAGTCGAGGAGTGAAGAGTCGAGGAGTCGAGGATCAAGGAGTCGAGGATCGAGGAGTGAAGAGTCGAGGATCGAGGAGTCGAGGATAGAGGAGTGAGGGGTCGAGGATCAAGGATGGAGTAGTTAAGTTGATGGAGTAGCTCCAGTGGTCCTCGATGTGCCCGCCCACACACACACACACACACACACACTCACCAGTGTAGGAAGTTGATGGAGTAGCTCCAGTGGTCCTCGATGTGCCAGCAGAAGGAGGAGAAGCACATGCCCACGTAGAGCCAGGGCAGCTTCATGCCGCTGATGTCTCCGCTGATGTGCGTCAGCACCGACTGCTCCAGCACCGGCAGGTTGTTCAGGTTCCAGCCCGAGTTTGCATATTCCTGCACACATTCATACGAAGAGGAACAAAAAAGATTGAAGAAATCAGTGAAATGCTAAATCAGAATACTACACGAACACTCAAGTAACTATGTTACAAGTAAATATGTTAAATAAAACTAATTTTTTATTTTATTTTATTACAGGGACAGTGCATATTAATAAACCTTTCTGTAAATGTGCCAGAATTAGCCAAAAGACTGTTTTTCATCTGTAGTCCCTAGACCGATGGTAAAATGTCACCCTAAACAATTAAATATTTGCATAACAAAATAAAAATTACAATACATTTAGCAAGAATTTCCATTATGTTAAAATATATGATCGAAAACACAGCAAGCCTACAATCAAACCAACATCAGACAAAAAAATAACACACACACACACACACACAAGGACAGAAGCCAGCAGTGGGCAGCAAGAGCAGAACTAGAAGTACGTTAATGCTGACAGCTCTGACAATCAATGAGCCATTTCTTTAACTGGATCTTAAAGTCCCCGTGAACCGGAAGTTGCAAACGATTTTTCTCCAGTGCTGTGACGTATTTCCAAGTGAAACGGAATATTGAACAGAGGGCGGGGTTTTACTCTAGCGCTCCTCCTCTCCATCTCTCGCTCATAGCAAACTAACGGTTTGAGGGGAGTGGTTAAGCGTTTCCCCACCCAAACTGTGAAACCTACGTCATCAGAAAAAGAAACCGTTCCAGACCGGAAGTAACTTTTCAGATTTTGATTAAAGATTACCAAGGTAAAATATTTTTTAAATATATTTTTACTTGCACGGATTAATTGTTCACCACAAGACTAGTAATATGCGCTAACAAAGTGAATAGGTTCAATTTTGATTTCACGGGGACTTTAAGGGAGCTAAACGCAAGTATCTGAGTTTTTGCAGAACTACGCCCCCTCTGGCGACCAGCGAAACTGCAACCAGAGCTGTGCGTGTTCATGGAGGAACACACACACACACACACGCACGTTTGCACGAGCTGTTCATAACCAAAGGAGCATCAGCTGCACACTGTGCGGCACACATCTTTTGTTACAGTCATAATGAGGTAATACAGTAATAAATCTGCAAGTGATTTAAAATATATATGAAAGGAAAGGCATTCGAGTAAATTACACACTTATGTGTGTGAGAGGGGGAAACGGGGGTAGTAGACAACTTCGGTTTTTGTTTCCATCTATCTCCATGTGCTTACTGTATCCACTTATGATTGAATTATTATGGAAACACGTTCAGTTATCACTTTGTATAGGACCCGTTTGAGCCCAAGAGCAGACCGGAGATCTCTCCGTTTGTTGAAAGCTTCCCGATGTTGACTCTCGTCTTATTCCGACGCCTGGCACTGGACAGACAGAAGTTTTATTTTCTTTGTCTCACGTGGAGTTTGCGTTGGGGTTTGGAACGAACTACAAGCCGGTCTCTTTCCGCGCCATATACAGATTTAATGAAGTGCACGTCACCGAAAGCAACAGATATGAGCTGGATTTTATTAATCATCGGCTAATTTCAAAATCAGCAAAGACAGCAATAAGAGAGATCGGCAACAGGCCTGGTAAGATCATTTCATTTCTTTGTTTTTAATGAAGATGGTAGTGTTAGCGTCTGCGACTTACTTTCACTTTGATTTGCGATAGATTGCGGCGCGCTGGCTTGATGAATAGCTAGGGGCTCAGCTGCTCATCTGAGGTGATGCGCATCGTCATATATGACTAAAATAACATGACATATAGCCTGGTTTCAACAACCAGATGCATTTACACTTGTCCAGTTTCGTCTGGAATACGGCCCAGACCACGTCCTCATGAGCGATCGGATTCAAATCCGTCTCGAATGCGTTTCGGAGGGCATTTACACCCTGGTCTTTTCACGATCGAATAGCTATCCGATCACAGAAAACGCATGAAGTGACCAGGTGTAAACAGCCCCTTTGAATCCATCGTCTACTTTTGTGGAAAGCTGACTAGAGTTGTGTCGCTCGAGTTGTCTTCTCTGATACGGAGAACGGCGGTGAATAGCTACACGAACCTGCCAGACATAGCCAGGCGAGCGTGAACGGCCATGACATCACGCCCAGTCTCAGATTCGAGCCCGAATCCCTCTAATATATTTCACTGTACAGGATTATAGAGGCGATCACAGTGATCAGAGAAGGGCTCATTCAGCCCATCAGGCGATTGTTTAAGCATGTATGGGTTAGAAAACGGCTATTTTTAACATGAAATGTTGCGCAATGCACCTTTAAAGGGTTAGTTCACCTAAAAATGATAATTCTGTCAGTATTTACTCACCCTCATGTTGTTCCAAACCTTAATTTGTTTATTTGTTCTGCTGAACACAAAGGAAGATATTTGGAAGAATGTTTTAATCAAACAGATCTCATTCCCCATTGACTACCTTTGGAACAACATGAGGGCGAGTAAATACTGACAGAATTTTCATTTTTGGGTGAACTAACCCTTTAAACCAGAGATGCCCAAACTAGGGCCCGCGGGCCAAAGTTGGCCCGTGGTATCCTTTGATTTGGCCCGCCATACCGTCCGGGGAGAGGGGATTTCTTTAAAATGCAAAACTTTACAACTTCCTTTTCAGTCGGCATTGCATAGGCTATACCCACTTCTAAATCCCCTCTGATGCGCATCATTTAGTTGCTAATCCAATTTCGTGAATAAAAAAAACACCCAGTTAGATCGTACCCGTAATATTAACTCTAATTTGTTGCTGCAATGATTCTCCCATCGCTACGATAACTGACCTTCTCATCTGGTCTGCTTCAGCACTCAAACACCTGCTCGTCAATGTTAAAATGTTCGTGAGACCAATCAAAGAATGCATTATTTTTGTTTGCAGAAGCGCGAGCCGAGCGCGAATCCCAACGCGATGCTTCACTTCAGTTAACGATCATACAGTGCGAGATAAGATGCAAGTAGCTCAAATTTACGGCTGTTTTTCAATAGACGTTTTAAATGACCGACAGAAATAATCAGTTTTATTAAAGACAGTGGAAAGTATAAGCTCAATTTAACAACACAAGCACCCTATTAAATATATTGCCATTATTATTGTATAAATATATTTGTATAACGTTTTTTCTAATGTGTTTGACTTTTCACTGTTTTTATCAGACTATATGGGGAGGTATCAGAGGGTTTGTATAACTCCGCTTGTCTGTGTTTGCGCCACTTGCATCATTAAGCCAGAGGGTGGCGACAAGTGACTGTCTTTTTGAGTGAGCAGTTGAACCATTAATTAAATTAACATATTAGTCCAAAAACATTGATTAATTTAGGAAAGAAAAGTAGCTGAAACTGGAACTGATTCTCATGTTTAAGAATCTGATCAAATAGGCTACGTCATGCTTTTAAAGCTACTGTTGTCAATTTTTTTGGCCATCAAAACACCATAAAAAGCTCATTTTGAGATCAGGAAAATCTAAATTTCCCTTGGGCATGCCCCCGAACCCCCTTAACAATATCATTTATGGGACCTGGCACCTGGGTATTTAGAAAACCATATGAGCGGCCCTGATACGCAAGAATACTGATTCTATGTATTGTATTCATTACACTCTATTCTATAGTCTTGCATATTGAATACTAATGCAAGACTAGTAGTCTTACATGTCACTGTTTATAACACAGAGCGCTCATCCTTTGCTGGGACGCTTAAAAAATATTGGGGGCATACATTAAGAGTATACCCACTTCTCCAGGCACCACTACATCACTGCGTTTGATGCAAAATGTACTTTTGGCCCACGGCCCACAATCAAGTTTGATTTTTGGCCCTTCGTAGGAAAAAGTTTGGGCACCCCTGCTTTAAACAAACTGTATGTGTTTCTGATGGTTATGGGGGTGAGGTTCCACTCAGTAGTAGCTCGAACAGAGAAAGCGGTCTGACCAAACACACTTTTCCTAAAGGTAATGATGCAGTCTCCCCTCGCTGCACCTCTGGGTCTGCTGTGTTCAGCTGTTTGGGTTTGGACAAACTGGTGGAGAGGAGGGGATGAGAAACCATCTATAATTTTATAGAGAAGACATAGATTTGAATATTTGACCATGTTTTCCCAGCTAAGTGATCTATATTTTAGTAATAGGGGACAATGATGAGGAATAAATGGTTTCCGATCCTCCTATGGAAATGACTGTCAGGGCAGTATATGTTCCTGGGCATCAAAATCAGGGAGCGGATATCCTGTCGAGACAAGGGCTTAGACCTCAAGTTGGTGAACCTCCTATGGGAGAAATTCGGTCAAGCACAAGTCGACCTACAGTATTTGCCTCTTCAGAGACAACCCACTGTCCCATGTGGTTCTCCCTCACGTATCCAGCTCCCGTCTGTTCCTAGTTGCCCCATTCTGGCCGGCCCGAGTGTAGTTTTCAGACCTGGTGTCCCTTCTCGACGGCTCTCCGATGGAGATTCCAATCAGGAGGGACCAATTGTACACACGATTGATCACCCTCGCCCGGAGTTGTGGAAACGGTGGGCTTGGCCCCTAAGGGAGCTCCCTGAGAAGACTGTATGAACTGAAATTTAGACTATTCTCTTTTTGGTATATAAAACCCATATAGTGTCAGTTGGACCCAGTCAACTGTATTATGGGTTCAGTGCTGGAATTTTTGCAGGAACATTTCTCTGCTGGATTATTTCCTTCCAACTTGAAAGTGTATGTGTTAGCCATATCTGCTTACCACGCTCCTCAGGGTGGTGCATCTTAAGGGAGTGATCCTCTAACTACGGCACTCCGAGGCCGAGGCCTGCACTACGCACAAGAGCGCCGGCTTGGGATTTGGCCGTTGTATTGTAAGGCCTGGCTTTGGCTTCCTTCGAGCCTATTGAAGATGTTTTAGAAAATTTCCTCACACTAAAAACATTATCTCTCCTTGCCATCTCTTCTATCACGAGTATTAGAGACTTGCAAGCTTTGTTGTTGCTCCTTCGTGCCTAGAATGTGCACCTGTTATGGTGAAAGCCTTCTTTTACCCTAGGATGGGGTTTGTTCCCAAGTTCCCAAATAATGATGCGGGTCCCATTGTGCTGCAGGCCTTCTGTCCTCCAGCTTTCTTATCATCAGATCAGGAAAAACAATCTGCAATGCCCTGTGAGGGATTTGGATGCTTATGTCCACAGAGCTGCCCTGTGGCGAAAGTTGGATCAACTGTTTGTCTGTTTCGGGTCACCCTGCATCCCTGAATCCGAGCCCATTCTCCCTGGAGTATGGCTGCCTCAAAAGCTTTATTGTCGGGTGTCTCCCTTCAGGACATTTGTGATGTGACAGGCTAGTCCTCTCCGCACACCGTTGTCAGATTTTATAACTTGGATCTAGGCTCCACTCCGGGGTCTATGGTGCTTGTGTCGTAGTGTGCGTAATGATTTCACACAGACAGGCATTTTATTATTATGGCCTTGTGGGTATAATGTTCCCACAGCGTCTTGACGCAGCTCGAGTTCCCTTGAAAGGGAACTTCTCAGGTGAAGACTATAACCCTGGTTCCCTGAAGAGGGAACGAGACACTGTCTCTCTGCATGCCTGGGATCAACTTGCTTTAGCCTATCAGAAGCTAGCGCGGTCTGTTTCTGGGTATGCTTTATAGTTTTCTGGTCGATGACGTCACCTGCCTATGGCGTTCTGTCTGGCCATTAGTTCAATTTCACATGTGCTTCATGACTAGGGTTGGGTACCGAAACTCGGTGCCAATAGGGAACCGGTTCTGACGTAAACGGTAGTAACCAGACCGAATAAGAATGAAAACTTCAGTGCTTGATTTCGATTGCTGAGTCTGTGGCATGAGGCACACACACGCAGTCTCTCGCTGTCTCCCTCTCCGACGTGCGCGCACTATACGGTTTATTGAAGCACTGTCTGATCTGTCTCGCACACGCGCTCTTGCTCGCTTGCTCTAGATTCCGGGAGATTTGAACTAATTTGCGATCATCCGGGAGCCGTTATCAATATGCGGGAGACTCACCGAACGTCTGCTGATAGCGAGGAGATTAAACACACGTGAAATGTTTGGCTGCATTTCACGTGTAAAATTACGCGTCAGAATAACGATTGTCTATGGATATAGAATCACCATTCACGCCGCCTTGACGCTCACGTTGTCATATTATATTGGCGCGCGCATCATCTGCTCCTCAGAGTTCTGTCGAAAAAGGAAGCTTGTCAGCAGCGCAAGATATTTGACAGCGAACGCAGCGTCTCGTTCCCTATTGAGAGAACATGGGTTACACAGAGACGTTCTCTTTCATATGTTTACTCAAAGCTGTGTATAAGACGCAGTGGGAACGAAATATCAAACTGGCTAAGAGTTTAACTAGTAAATGACAAGATAACTTACATGACTAGTTAAAGCAGACAAAACATGGGAACCTGTAGCCATGTCGATATTATATTACCCTGGTAGTAATCTCTATCTCCAGTATAATTACATTGTTTGATATAATATTGTTTTATTTGATACTATGCAAATATGAACTTTTATTTTATATTGGTTTATTTATTATTACCATATGTTACTTGTATTTATATTGTAAGTTAATATTGTGTCCAGTTTGGCCCTGTAAATAAAGGCGTATTATTTTTTTGACAAAGTGTGTGCGGTTTCGTTTTCTTAAGTACCGTTTTAAAAACCGTTTAGGCACCGGAACCGTTTAAAAAATACCGAGTAGGTACTGGTATCGGATAAAACCCAAACGATACCCAACCCTATTCACGACCCACGCAGGGGCATTCCCACGGCATCTCAACGCAGCTCGAGTTTCCTCTTCAGGGAACCAGGGTTACGCAAGTAAGCTGAAACGTTCAGTGATGGTTCATTTCTATTGTAAAAAGTTAATCATTTATTTTGTTGAAAATTTAGTGTCCCCAAATAATCATCAGCTTCTTCGTTGATGTTTTTAGAGGCAGCTTGCAACGTCACTAAGTTGAATACACATGAAGTAGTAGTAGTCGTCTGGTTTATTAGAAGCAGAGACCATTCTTTGTTATAAAAGAAGTGAAATTGGAACAAATGGAGGACCACGAGTATTACTTAGCACAAGAGCAGACAGAGCGTGAATCTTCATCCTCTAAGGGTGTACCGCAGTTACGCAGTATTGTAAAGCGTAAAATTCCTCAACACTGCTCACACCACATTAAAAGACATTATATTGTAAATAAATACAAATGACAAATAACAGACATTTACTTGTAATAAAGTGAAAGATTAATGAGAATAGAGTCTTACGTCCTCGTCGCCGATGAGCTTCCTCTTGCCGTCCCGCACTGGGAATCCACTGCCCACGTCCTTGGAGCTGATGTCAGCACCATACTCCACGATCACGTCCTCCTCGATGCTGCTGACCAGACGCCAGAACTCCTTCTCCACCAGCTCTGTCGGCACCATCTGACACACACACACACACACACGAGTCTGAGATGGCTGTGGAGTCTGAGGCGGCTGTGGAGTCTGAGGCGGAAAGAAGTGAACGACTCTTACGTGAACGGGCATGTTGAAGTAGTCGGACTTGAAGTGGTCGGCCATCTCACCGAAGCTCTGGAGTGTGTACTCGCGCACGGCCTGCTCGAAGCCGAACGCCTCCCGAGGCTTGCTGCACTCCTGAGTGTGTGTGTGAGCACATCATCATCGTCATCATCATCATCACTAAGTGTGTGTGTGTGTGTGTGTGTGTGTGTGTGTGAATATAGGTGTGTGAGTGTACAGTACCTCCGCCACACACTTGGGGCAGCGCCAGTCTCCTTTGGGCACGTCCTGCAGCGGCGGGATGAGGCAGAAGGTGTGGTAGCTGTCGTCGCAGCCATCACACAGCAGGAGGCGGTCCTCCTCGTCACCCCGCCCACACGCCATGCACATGTACAGGTCGATCTGCGGACACACACACATGAGAAAACACAGTTTCACAAAAACACAAGCACTGGGGCCTGAAGAAGCCTGAGCAGTTGCATGTTTCACAGAAGAGCTGCTCCGACCAATGAGACCGTAGCGCTGCTGCTTTCAAGAGGATCCATTATTACACTCACATTGATCTATTCAGCAGAAGTTTTAGCCAAGTAAACAAGTAAACAACCAGCAAACAGCACCCACATGTGGATTTATCAGTATGTTTTGATAGAATAAAATTATATAAATATCTTTGTTCATTGAAACAAATAGTCTGAAAGAACCATCTGTGGAAACAAGTCAGAAGTCACATCACTAGTTTCCTGTACATTCATTCCTTTTAAAGCACTTCTGCTGCTGAAATAAGTCAAAAAATTACAACCAATGAAACAATATCCAATGCATCACAACTCATACTCACATAATTAACCTCCAGCACCTCCTTGCGTGGACGCATTTTAAAAGCAAAAGCCTGAGCCTTCATGTGCTTCTGTTTCCTGAGGAAGCCATCGTCATCTGGACACACACACACACACACACAGTCTGTACACGTTTGATGACCAAAACTAATGTCTCTGTGTGATAACGAGCCGATGAAAGTCTCACCCGCTGCCATGATGTCCAGGCACCCGCCAAACACCTGTATGGCTTTGGGCTCTGTGTTTTCCCTCTAAGACACAACACAAGGGTCAGAGGTCAGAGGGTCAGTGTATACTGGTGATATCACACCAGTATACACGCAAGCACAGTATGACAAATTAACAAATTTTCTTGGGTCAGAGAGAGTCTTTGGTGGAAGCACTCTCAATGACTGGAGAAGCTTGAAGGGGCAGGACTTAAGCACTCTCAGTGACTGGAGAAGCTTGAAGGGGCAGGACTTAAGCACTCTCAGTGACTGAAGAAGTTAGAAGGGGCAGGACTTAAGCACTCTCAGTGACTGAGGAAGTTAGAAAGGGGCAGGACTTAAGCACTCTCAGTGACTGAGGAATTTAGAAGGGGCAGGACTTAAGCACTCTCAGTGACTGAGGAAGTTAGAAAGGGGCAGGACTTAAGCACTCTCAGTGACTGAGGAAGTTAGAAGGGGCAGGACTTAAGCACTCTCAGTGACTGTGGAAGTTAGAAGGGGCAGGACTTAAGCACTCTCAGTGACTGAGGAAGTTAGAAAGGGGCAGGACTTAAGCACTCTCAGTGACTGAGGAAGTTAGAAGGGGCAGGACTTAAGCACTCTCAGTGACTGAGGAAGTTAGAAGGGGCAGGACTTAAGCACTCTCAGTGACTGAGGAATTTAGAAGGGGCAGGACTTAAGCACTCTCAGTGACTGAGGAAGTTAGAAGGGGCAGGACTTAAGCACTCTCAGTGACTGAGGAAGTTAGAAGGGGCAGGACTTAAGCACTCTCAGTGACTGAGGAAGTTAGAAGGGGCAGGACTTAAGCACTCTCAGTGACTGTGGAAGTTAGAAAGGGGCAGGACTTAAGCACTCTCAGTGACTGTGGAAGTTAGAAGGGGCAGGACTTAAGCACTCTCAGTGACTGTGGAAGTTAGAAAGGGGCATGACTTAAGCACTCTCAGTGACTGTGGAAGTTAGAAGGGGCAGGACTTAAGCACTCTCAGTGACTGAGGAAGTTAGAAGGGGCAGGACTTAAGCACTCTCAGTGACTGAGGAAGTTAGAAGGGGCAGGACTTAAGCACTCTCAGTGACTGAGGAAGTTAGAAGGGGCAGGACTTAAGCACTCTCAGTGACTGTGGAAGTTAGAAAGGGGCAGGACTTAAGCACTCTCAGTGACTGTGGAAGTTAGAAGGGGCAGGACTTAAACACTCTCAGTGACTGTGGAAGTTAGAAAGGGCAGGACTTAAGCACTCTCAGTGACTGAGGAAGTTAGAAGGGGCAGGACTTAAACACTCTCAGTGACTGTGGAAGTTAGAAAGGGGCAGGACTTAAGCACTCTCAGTGACTGTGGAAGTTAGAAGGGGCAGGACTTAAGCACTCTCAGTGACTGTGGAAGTTAGAAGGGGCAGGACTTAAGCACTCTCAGTGACTGTGGAAGTTAGAAGGGGCAGGACTTAAGCACTCTCAGTGACTGTGGAAGTTAGAAAGGGGCAGGACTTAAGCACTCTCAGTGACTGTGGAAGTTAGAAGGGGCAGGACTTAAGCACTCTCAGTGACTGAGGAAGTTAGAAGGGGCAGGACTTAAGCACTCTCAGTGACTGAGGAAGTTAGAAGGGGCAGGACTTAAGCACTCTCAGTGACTGTGGAAGTTAGAAGGGGCAGGACTTAAGCACTCTCAGTGACTGAGGAAGTTAGAAGGGGCAGGACTTAAGCACTCTCAGTGACTGTGGAAGTTAGAAGGGGCAGGACTTAAGCACTCTCAGTGACTGAGGAAGTTAGAAGGGGCAGGACTTAAGCACTCTCAGTGACTGAGGAAGTTAGAAGGGGCAGGACTTAAGCACTCTCAGTGACTGTGGAAGTTAGAAAGGGGCAGGACTTAAGCACTCTCAGTGACTGTGGAAGTTAGAAGGGGCAGGACTTAAGCACTCTCAGTGACTGTGGAAGTTAGAAAGGGGCATGACTTAAGCACTCTCAGTGACTGTGGAAGTTAGAAGGGCAGGACTTAAGCACTCTCAGTGACTGAGGAAGTTAGAAGGGGCAGGACTTAAGCACTCTCAGTGACTGAGGAAGTTAGAAGGGGCAGGACTTAAGCACTCTCAGTGACTGAGGAAGTTAGAAGGGGCAGGACTTAAGCACTCTCAGTGACTGTGGAAGTTAGAAAGGGGCAGGACTTAAGCACTCTCAGTGACTGTGGAAGTTAGAAGGGGCAGGACTTAAACACTCTCAGTGACTGTGGAAGTTAGAAAGGGGCAGGACTTAAGCACTCTCAGTGACTGAGGAAGTTAGAAGGGGCAGGACTTAAACACTCTCAGTGACTGTGGAAGTTAGAAAGGGGCAGGACTTAAGCACTCTCAGTGACTGTGGAAGTTAGAAGGGGCAGGACTTAAGCACTCTCAGTGACTGTGGAAGTTAGAAGGGGCAGGACTTAAGCACTCTCAGTGACTGTGGAAGTTAGAAAGGGGCAGGACTTAAGCACTCTCAGTGACTGTGGAAGTTAGAAGGGGCAGGACTTAAGCACTCTCAGTGACTGTGGAAGTTAGAAGGGGCAGGACTTAAGCACTCTCAGTGACTGTGGAAGTTAGAAGGGGCAGGACTTAAGCACTCTCAGTGACTGTGGAAGTTAGAAGGGGCAGGACTTAAGCACTCTCAGTGACTGGGGAATTTAGAAGGGGCAGGACTTAAGCACTCTCAGTGACTGTGGAAGTTAGAAAGGGGCAGGACTTAAGCACTCTCAGTGACTGTGGAAGTTAGAAGGGGCAGGACTTAAGCACTCTCAGTGACTGAGGAATTTAGAAGGGGCAGGACTTAAGCACTCTCAGTGACTGGGGAAGTTAGAAGGGCAGGACTTAAGCACTCTCAGTGACTGGGAAAGCTTGAAGGGACGGACACAATAATCACAATAACACCAGATCAGATCAGATACTCAAGACACAGGGAGGAGCATCACAAACATAAAATAACAGATCAGATCACACACACCTCGTCCTTCAGCTGTCGAGGGGAACGTCGCTCCGGCCGTCTCTCCTTCTCGTCATTCTCCTCTACAGCCTCTTCCTCTGTTCCTCCTATCCCTTCATCCTCAGCATCAGAGGCTTCTGGGTAAAGCCTGTGGACGACGCCCTACACACACAAACACACCGTCAGCAGCGGAGCGAGGCATACACTCGTCACATGGAGGAGTCGCACTCACCGTCAGAGACGCTCCGGACTGGAAGACCTCGTAAGGATACAGGATCCGCTCGAAGTGAGAGCGCAGCAACGATCCCACACCTTTCCCAGCCGGAAAACCCATCCGACTGCTGATCCTGGACCAGCGCTTCTCCTTACACACCCGCTCGAACCCTCCCTCTGCACACACCAGCTGGAGACACACAGAGTCAAGCGTCAAATACACACACAGACCACCTTGAAACCTCCTCCTGCAGACACAAGCTAGAAACAGCAGTGTATATAAACACAAGCTCTAGCGGCTCGTGGCTTCAACATAACACTCACAAACACACACCTTGCTCAGCAGGTACAGGTCCAGCACACACACACACACACACGCAAACACACACACCTTGCTCAGCAGGTACAGGTCCAGCACTCACTCACTCTCTCACTCACACACACACACCTTGCTCAGCAGGTACAGGTCCAGCACTCACTCACACACACACACGCACACACCTTACTCAGCAGGTACAGGTCCAGCACACACACACACACACAAACACACACACCTTGCTCAGCAGGTACAGGTCCAGCACACACACACACACACACACACACACACAAACACACACACCTTGCTCAGCAGGTACAGGTCCAGCACTCACACTCACACACACACACACACACACCTTGCTCAGCAGGTACAGGTCCAGCACTCACACTCACACACACACACACACACACCTTGCTCAGCAGGTACAGGTCCAGCACTCTTCTCTCCACGTGAGGAAAGCGCAGCTTGCAGCCCTGAAGCTCCCAGAACTTGGAGATCTGGTCCAGGAAGTTGAGCTTGACTCTGGTGAGGGCCTGAAGGCAGGACAGGAGGTGAGGAACACACACACACACACACACACACTCGTGGTGAGATGATGAGACTGACCTCCAGCTCATTGAGCCGCTGGATGCGTGGAGTGAAGCGGAAACTGCGCACGTCACAGGCAAATGGAGGCTGCCAGCCCTGAAACGCACAAAACACACACACGGTCACCATGGTAACCAGCATCAGCATCACACACAGTCACCACGGTAACCAGCATCAGCATCACACACGGTCACCACAGTACCAGCATCACACACAACAGAGCTGATGGGTAGTTGGTGAGTATAATGAGTAGTACTGACCTGTTATTATAACATTTATGTTTACAGTTATTGTGCTTATGTTTACAGTATTGAGTGTCTGATCTATTATTATTATAGCATTTGTTTACAGTATTGAGTGTCTGATCTATTATTATTATAGCATTTATGTTTACAGTATTGAGCGTCTGATCTGTTTTTATAGCATTTATGTTTACAGTTATAGTGTTTATGTTTACAGTAGTGAGCGTCTGATCTGTTATTATAGCATTTATGTTTACAGTATTGAGTGTCTGATCTGTTATTATAGCATTTATGTTTACAGTTATAGTGCTTATGTTTACAGTATTGAGCGTCTGATCTGTTATTATAGCATTTATGTTTACAGTATTGAGTGTCTGATCTGTTTTTATAGCATTTATGTTTACAGTATTGAGTGTCTGATCTGTTTTTATAGCATTTATGTTTACAGTTATAGTGCTTATGTTTACAGTATTGAGCGTCTGATCTGTTATTATAGCGTTTGTTTACAGTAGTGAGCGTCTGATCTGTTATTATAGTGTTTGTTTACAGTATTGAGCATCTGGGGCTCGTTCTTCGTACGTCGCTAACTCAGTTAGCTGGATTTGATTGTTGGCGATTTGCCATGATCTTGGATCGTTTGGTTCTTCGACGCTCATCCTGGACTTGCTGTCATAGCAACAGGTCCGTCAGCTTGAACCTGCTCGCGAGCAGGCTTATTTCATGTAAACAGGATTAGATCGCGGCTGATACGGGAAGTCCTTCAGCGCAGCGCGATAGTGTAGCTTAATTTCTGAGATTTAATTTTGTTTTCTCGTGAAACGATCGTCGTGAGGGTGTCGTTTAAATACATTATTATTTTGTTGGAAATGCACATTAATGGTCGATTCGATATCGGGCTTCAACAACAGCACAAAATGTTTGCATTGCCCTAAAATTATTTGCGAGTGGCTTCCTTTACACTATTGGAGATGCGGAGAACTTGATAAGCTTTCGGTCGTGCCATTCACAAAGTAGTGCTCTTAGTTTTTTTTTTTTTTTGCCAACTTAGGCTATATTATAATTTTTAATGAAGATAATGCAATCATGATTCCGATTATGCCGATTATGACTTACAGTCCCTCAGGCTTAACTTACGTGATTGGTGCCATACACTGTAGACTACACACATGTTCCCATCAAGGCCTCAATGAAGGGATTTTGTGAGCAGAAAGGGGGCTTATACAGTGCAGCCAAATTACTATTACAATTTTTAATATTCCAGATTTGGAATATTATATCACTTTTTTTAAAAGGCATTTGACTGAGTAAAATCTTTTAGATGGTGTGTGACCATGTTCTATATCACAAATCAGTGTGAAAGCAAAATGGCCAGGATCTGTGCATGACTCAAGAATTTTAAGAGATTCACATTTATGAACATTATTTGAACATGGTAAGGAAAATTATAAATATCAAACTCACGGTATTACATACACTTATGCTGAGAACTGCATTTTTCCATTAAACAGGTGATTACAACAGGATCCTGCATGGAGACAGGTGTTTTATGACCCCATTCCCTGACCCAAACCCCAGACCAGTTACAATGCAGCTCTAGGACAAGGGCACACAATGACATGAGCTTTGGCCAACTAAAGGGAAGATTTCAATGTCTAAAAACCCTGAGGGTTGCACCTGACAGGGCCTGTGACATTGCATGTGCCATATTACACAACACTGCCAACATCAGAAAAAGAAAAAAAAATGTTTAATTAAGCCTAAAATAAAAGACAAGACAAATTTGCAAAACTCTGTTTGCTTAGAGTTTTATTTCAATAGTTCATAGTCATCTTTTTAAAAGATATTAAGGTCAGCAATAGTACTCTGTGTGATTTTACTCTGAAGTTTATTTTGAAGCAACTCTATTTCTAGTGCAATTTTTTCTTAGTCAAGTTCTGTTTCTCCCCCTGATTTTTGTTTTTTCAAAATACTCTGTTGAAGACTCATATAGGGAACAAATGCAACAAATAACAAGCAAAAGTTGTCTACACTGCCCACCCCTGTATCACTGCTGTGTGCAGACTCTTCTGTAGGCCTTTCTGTACATGTGGACTCCTGTCAGAAATAACAGGCACAAGTAGAAATCAATTAAAGCCATCAATTAAATTAAAGTACTTCCTCCAAAGGACAGTCATCTGAGAATTTTTCTTCACTCTCCAGTGCAATGTGATTGATAACTCATGGCAAAATATTTTTTACATTAACATACGTTATCAGTTTTTACTTTCACAAGACAAAGCAATTTATCATTACTCAAGATTTAACAGTTGAAATGACTAAACCAGCCAATTTGGATTATAGGTCTGCTTCATTTAATGCAGCAACACATTATTTCACAGTGTACAAAGATAATTTAAATCTCATTTCCCAGTAATGAAGGTGTTGCTGCTACTGGTCCCTGATGATGTGGGTCTGGAAGAGCTGAACCCAGGGATGCCCTTCACAACAGGGCAATTCACATTCAACCCAAGGGTCAGCTCTTCTGCCAGGGTCAGGAGCATCATTATTATTTTTTTCTCAGCATTTTTCCTGTTTGCTTTTATAAACAGACAATCATTTATTTAACAGTGCCTTTTTAAAAGAGACTAGTAGGCCTATAAGGCCTAAAATTACCATTAAGTAGAATATTTTTGTACTTCACTTTCACCATGTTTATTATTATAGTGTGGTGACTCGACATTACAATGAACAAAGTAATTATGAAATTATGAAAATAAAAATAAAATAATAATAAGTTATTAAAACATCTAACATGGCCACCACAAACGCATTTAATTTGTCTTCTAGTTTTGCCAGCACTCTCTACTGGCTTTTGCACACTTTGAGGTGTCCCTGGCGTTTTAATTAAAGACTGAAATTCGGCATAACCTTGCATTAAAAGCGCTTGCTCTGCTTGGGAGAAAAACTGGGCGTGTTCTTTGGCCAAGCTGAACAGCCAATAGCAGCGCTGCTGATCACTGGTTCTGCTATCGATACATGTCCCCTTTTAAACCAACGCGAGAACGCGCAGTTATCTCAGATAACTCAATCCAGCGATACTAATCATAAACAACAGGTGTGTTCGAAGAACCCAATTAGCCGGATCATGATTAGCACGATGATATCATCTTAGATGTCTCATTTGATCTCGGATGTTTTAAGCAACGTACGAAGAACGAGCCCCTGATCTGTTATTATAGTTTATGTTTACAGTATTGAGCATCTGATCTGTTATTATAGCGTTTGTTTACAGTATTGAGCGTCTGATCTGTTATTTTAGTGTTTATGTTTACAGTATTGAGCGTCTGATCTGTTATTATAGTGTTTATGTTTACAGTATTGAGCGTCTGATCTGTTATTTTAGTGTTTATGTTTACAGTATTGAGCGTCTGATCTGTTATTATAGTGTTTATGTTTACAGTATTGAGCGTCTGATCTGTTATTTTAGTGTTTATGTTTACAGTATTGAGCATCTGATCTGTTATTATAGTGTTTATGTTTACAGTATTGAGCGTCTGATCTGTTATTATAGTGTTTGTTTACATTATTGAGCGTCTGATCTGTTATTATAGCGTTTGTTTACAGTAGTGAGCGTCTGATCTGTTATTATAGCGTTTGTTTACAGTATTGAGCATCTGATCTGTTATTATAGTGTTTGTTTACAGTATTGAGCGTCTGATCTGTTATTATAGCGTTTGTTTACAGTATTGAGCGTCTGATCTGTTATTATAGCGTTTGTTTACAGTAGTGAGCGTCTGATCTGTTATTATAGCGTTTGTTTACAGTATTGAGCGTCTGATCTGTTATTATAGCGTTTGTTTACAGTATTGAGCGTCTGATCTGTTATTATAGCGTTTGTTTACAGTATTGAGCGTCTGATCTGTTATTATAGTGTTTGTTTACAGTATTGAGCGTCTGATCTGTTATTATAGCGTTTGTTTACAGTAGTGAGCGTCTGATCTGTTATTATAGCGTTTGTTTACAGTATTGAGCGTCTGATCTGTTATTATAGCGTTTGTTTACAGTATTGAGCGTCTGATCTGTTATTATAGTGTTTGTTTACAGTATTGAGCGTCTGATCTGTTATTATAGCGTTTGTTTACAGTAGTGAGCGTCTGATCTGTTATTATAGCGTTTGTTTACAGTATTGAGCATCTGATCTGTTATTATAGTGTTTGTTTACAGTATTGAGCGTCTGATCTGTTATTATAGCGTTTGTTTACAGTATTGAGCGTCTGATCTGTTATTATAGCGTTTGTTTACAGTAGTGAGCGTCTGATCTGTTATTATAGCGTTTGTTTACAGTATTGAGCGTCTGATCTGTTATTATAGCGTTTGTTTACAGTATTGAGCGTCTGATCTGTTATTATAGCGTTTGTTTACAGTATTGAGCGTCTGATCTGTTATTATAGTGTTTGTTTACAGTATTGAGCGTCTGATCTGTTATTATAGCGTTTGTTTACAGTAGTGAGCGTCTGATCTGTTATTATAGCGTTTGTTTACAGTATTGAGCGTCTGATCTGTTATTATAGCGTTTGTTTACAGTATTGAGCGTCTGATCTGTTATTATAGTGTTTGTTTACAGTATTGAGCGTCTGATCTGTTATTATAGTGTTTGTTTACAGTATTGAGCGTCTGATCTGTTATTATAGCGTTTGTTTACAGTAGTGAGCGTCTGATCTGTTATTAAAGCGTTTGTTTACAGTATTGAGCGTCTGATCTGTTATTATAGTGTTTGTTTACAGTATTGAGCGTCTGATCTGTTATTATAGTGTTTGTTTACAGTATTGAGCGTCTGATCTGTTATTATAGTGTTTGTTTACAGTATTGAGCGTC